TTATTATTATTATTATTATTATTATTATTATTATGTAATTTGCATGTTAGCTGTATTATCTTATGTAATTATCTTCCACCGGGTTATGCCCATTTGCAGTTCAAATAAATTTATCTTATCTTATACACAGATTAGAATTTTACCTTATTAATAAATCGTGAGTTTACCCTGGGTACTTGGCATCAACATTTAAAATGTTTAAATAGTCGCACACTATTTGCCTGTTTATTGAGTGGTATCTTTTTCTGTTTACATACAGATGCTCTGAATGCTGAAGATGATTAGCTTTGGGAGGGACAATGGGTCAGAGGGTTCAGTCAATGCACCTAGGAAATGAAACTGGATGAACCTTTAAGGGCATGTTATGTTGAAGGAATGATTTGGACACAAGAAGAGGGCTGAAATAGTCGCAAAGAATTCAAAAAGTTCCTTTAATATACATTTTTATGAAATCTTTGTTCAATAACTCCTCAAAGGCATTTCTTGCCATCACCACTTATGTAGCATTAGGCCTGTGTTGAGCATATATTGCATCACCTAATGTTTGTAATAGATTAAAAAAACTACTAATTCATCTATTTCAGAAATTGGCTGAAACTAAAAGAAAGGAAAGGAGAACATACTTAATTACCATTAAAATTCCTTTCGATACTTCTGATAACTGAAATTGAACAGAACTAATAGTCTTGTAACTTTCATGAACCTTCTTGGTGACATATGAAAGGAATGACCAATTGGCAATGAGACACAATAACATCCAGTTGAAACTGGAAGATAAAATTAAAAACGTAATATTTTTATCTAGCTAAGCATTATTACCGTGCAGGGTTACTGACATATTAACATAATTTGACAATTACATAGGAGTGAAATATAAATACTTCTTGCTGGAATATGTGAGAAACAAATGCCACTAAATCACAGTGTAGTATAAAGAACTTAATTTAAGTGTTCAATTCATTCATATGTTTTTACTTCAAATGTTGTTTTTAAGGACGTGTGAATTGTTAAAAAAACATATTAATATAATACTGAATAAACCTTTATTAAAAATCAGTTGCATTGTTTTTATTTTTGATTGACATTCTGTTAGTACATTTATACATTATTAAACAAATAAACATTCATTAACAACGTTTCTTCGCAATAGAAAGGATAGGGAAAGGGCGGGGATTATCACGCCAGAGTTCTCGCACGGGTACGCTAGTTGTATATAAAATAACACGCTTAACTTCATTTTTCAAGGAAAAAAAAACAAGGAAAAATGAGTGATACGAAAATGCGTACTTTCCCACCTTTAGTAGTGGTAGTCAGGGGAGTAGCGTCCATAGATGTGGGTGATGTGTTACATATCCCGATAATATCAGCGATTTTTATTTTAAATTAATTGTAAATTGTCCATTTGTTATTTTTTCGTATTTGTTCCATTCAAATTTCTAAAAAATGCGCCCTAGAAGATTAAATTATTCACGTGGATCAACGACTCTATCTGGAAAACAGCCTCGCCTGTGCTGTGAATCTAAGGAGATTATAATACATAGGTATAGGTTATATTATAACCTCCTTGTGTGAATCACATGTCCAGCAATTCAGTACATCCAAGGTTATAATAAATGGAAGTGTCATGGCCGACCATTACCATTGCGGAAAATGAAGCCAGCCCCTGGAAAGATCGGTTAGGCAACCCACTAAACAGTTTGCCCTCAAACCTTTTAACCTTTGTTTTTTCTTTATTAATATATTGATATTTCCGGAAGGGAGATGTTTTAATATAATTATCTGTAATTAATAGATAGAAATATTCAGAGAATTGTAGAAAACAGTCCTGGGAAAAATAAGAAACCTCCCCAAAATTCTTAACTATTTAAAAAATGTATTTCATTTATTGTGTAAACGTAAATGGAATTTAATCTATTGCTTGATAACATGTAGTTTTGAAACAGAATTGTGCAAGTAGCTCTTAGAATGTACAGCATTCAATATACAAGGAGCTGAAACAAATGTCACATAGATTTACTTATTGTGAAAACTATAAATCATGTTCTAAATTTGACATAAAATAATTGATAGTTTGTCTATTCAGAAGCATGAATATTAAAAATTCTGTAAGGAAATAGTAACGAATTGAAAAAGTACATTCAAATATACATTTGAATTTCAATTAATTGCCCTGATTAGAAGCGTATGTAATAATAGAACTAAGGAGAAATTCATAGACAAGAATAAAATTACAAATCTGCTCAAATACAGTTCTCTTGAAGGCAAACCAATTTGAACATATTTCCAAAACAAATATTTTTCTAGTGCAAATTCAATATTCTCTTTTAAGGAACAGGCAATTCAAAGAAGGAACACATTTAATTTCTTTTCACTTGTAAAGTAATCAAATAATACAATTTTTTTTCAGCTGAACTATTTTATTTATTTCAATGTTTACATTAGTGACATTACTATTGGGTATAAAGCATAACAATTTTATAAAAATGTTACATTTTACTTTCTTGTCCTTACACTGGAAGAAGAAAAAGTGTAAATGTAACGTTTTGTATAATTTTAGATATTGAAGCCTCTATCTTCTTTAGTTGGGCAACTTTACATTTTAGCTGATCCTTTCTTTCAAGATCTGTAAAGGAAAATGAAATTATGGTTTTAACCATGCTGAAGAGAAAAAATAGTGCTTAAATTACAGACAGGTAATCTTCTAAAAGCATATAAATACCTTTGGCAGAAGTGTCTCTTGCATTAAAGACTCAGATGCAA